AAAAAAAACATATTTAAGAAAAATTATTAAAAAAATCATGATAATTACATGTGWTCTAAAAAACTTCCTAATCTATTGCCTAGATATGTAATATACTATTCCTTTACAAAATTAACTGAAAACAGAAAGGTATATTATAGGTACTTTAGAATACAAAAAAATAATGAAAAATTTWWAAGTGTGTGGTACATCGTWCAAAACATTTAAAGCCGAGCTAAGTCTCACATACACTTCTTTGTTCAATCCTGTTTTTAAGATAGTGACTGGGAGTATATGTCAAGTGTAAGAGCACCACACACTTTTAAATTTTTCATTATTTTTTTTTATTCTAAAGTACYTAATATACCTTTCTGTTTTCAGTTAATTTTGTAAAGGAATAGTATATTACATACCTAGGCAATAGATTARGAAGTTTTTTAGATCACATGTAAATATGTAATTATCATGATTTTTTTAATATATTTTTTTAAATATGTTTTTTTAGAAAAGTGTTTTAAAAAAAAAATTTTATTGTTTTATTTCAGTTAACTTTTTTATTTTTTATTTTTATTTTAACAACATTATTCTGTTATATGCTGTACGGCTAATTTACTGAAGTACGACGAGTAATGGTTAGGTTAACCCGCCTTGACCCAGAGAAACCCTTCGTACATGTACTTCCTCGGAAATGACTTTGCACACCCGTCATCGCCGACCTGGAGGTCCGGGTCCCAAAATGACAACGGATTATTGTATTGTCATCCAAGACCAAGGTCTATACCAATTTTCAGAATTTTTCATCATCAAAAATTGCCTCAAATCGACCGCGCAAGATTTGATTACAGACAAACAGACGTGCAATCGAACTTGAGAAAAGTGTGTAAAAATAAAAAGGYGCTWRGTATGCATTTTCTCATTTAAGTTTTTTTTTGTAAGAAGAAGTTTTTGATGCTTTAATCAAGAATATTATTTTTTGGGTTGCTAATAATCCCTAAGCCCCTCCCCCCTTTTGTGCCTATGCTTATTGGTATTTGGCCCCTAAGCTACAGTGTCTTATCCGATAGCTA